TTTTCAGGAGAGTTTTTTAATCACTTGTTTAATTTATTTAGTGATTATAGGATTATTCAAATAATCTCTTTCATCTTGGCTACGTTTGAGTAGTTTGCCATTTTCAAGAAATTAGCCCTTTTAAGTTTTCCAATTTATGAGTATAAAGTTGTTAACAGTATTGTTTTTTTTAAATACATTTTATTGATTTTTTACAGAGAGGAAGGAAGAGGGATAGCGAGTTAGAAACATTGATGAGAGGGAAACATCAATCAGCTGCCTCCTGCACATCCCCAACTGGGAATGTGCCCACAACCAAGGTACATACCCTTGACCGGAATTGAACCCGGAACCCTTCAGTCCGCAGGCCGACGCTCTATCCACTGAGCCAAACCAGTTAGGGCCTGAATAACTTTTCTAAGATTTGTCATGTCCTTGCTCAGCTCCCATTTTGTGCCATGTATTATATTATCCCCATTTTGCCCCCTAACAATCCTGTAAGGTAGAGATTATTATTCTTGTTTCATATATGAGCAAAGAGTCAGAGAGAAGGGACTTGCCTAATATTATATAGCAGATAAGAGGGGAAGCCAGGCTTGGAACCTTTCTCCAGAGCTAGTATATGGGCAGCTTGAAGATCAGCACAGAGCTGGGTGCCACGCAGGCTGTCCACAGTATTTCCCTTGACCAGTGGTGCTTAGTTTCCACGAGTTCTGCATTCGCGGCTGGTGCATTGTGGGAAAGAAACAGACGTGTCCCTACTGCAAAGAGAAGGTAGACCTCAAGAGGATGTTCAGCAACCCGTATCCTTATTTTGCATTCTTTGGGAGTGGGCAGTGGGAAGCAAGCACTGGCCAGTGTGACCCTGCATTTGGGTCCTCATGGAGCTCCCCCCTCTCCCCCCCGTACATGTCCACCATTCTGTTTAGCCTCAAGTGTAAGTAAGTTGGGGATGGGACATGGCACAGGGCTAATGCCTCAGCTTCTCATCATAGTTCTAGAACCCTTAAAGCTGCCGCTTCCTGCTTGCTTACTGTGTACCTGGCACTGTGTTAAGTGTTCTACTCATATGCATCTCATTGTCTTCTCTAGCAACTTTATGACCTGGTGATATCCTCATTTTACAGATGAAACAGTTAGATGTTGGATACTTGTTTAGGTGATATAATTAATGCATGATGATGCCTTATCTATGACATGCAGGCTAGAGACCAGCTCTGTGCCTGTGTAGGGCCTGTAGGTGCAGGGGTGGCTGAGGGACTCCCTGTCCCCATCAGCTATCAACACAGGACTTGTGCTCCTCTGAACTATCACTTCCTCCCCTGCCAGCCTTCCCTCCTCATCCTGTACCTTCACCCTCCTCATTCTTCTCACAGCTTGATCGTTGGAAAGTGCTAGCCATGCTCTGCCCGTCCCTGCACTTCCCCTGGGATACAGAGATCCAGCTCTCTCCCCTCTCCTCTCAGCTGCCCTTTTCTCTGTCCCCAGTACACTAGCTGGGCTGTGTGGGAGCCACTGTATTCCCAGTACACGCCCTGAACAGGAGACAGGCCCTTTTAGGTTCCTTACTTCATTCTTGCAGGGACTAGTTTAGGAACAAGTAATAACTCCATGGTCAAGCTGATGGTTGGAGCTTCCCTTAGTTCTCAGAGACTAGGCCAAGCTGCCCTTTCTGATGCCTTTCAAGAGGTTCCCTCCCCCCAGTGCTTTCCCCAGACCGGGAATCCCAGGCTCCTTTTCCAGGCGTCTTGCCCAGTGTTTAGCTGTAAAGTGGAAGGAGGGGAACTATCTCCAGAACCGTTTGGCCTCAGTAGGGTCAGGTGCTTCGTGCCCCTGGATGAGGATTCCTTGGGGCCTCTGCCAGGGATTATCCTCTGTGACCAGCCTTGTGCTCCCTTCTGCCTCTCTCTAGACTCAACCTCTTCCTTGACCTAGAAAGCCTTCCAGTTGGACATTACAAGAACCTTCAGGGCTGCCTTACTTAACTCCCAGCTTCCCTGCAGCCAGTGTCCCTGGCCTCAGGCTGTGTTCTCTCACTGCCAGTCCATCTCAGAGAAGTTGTTCCATGGGCGACCCTCTTTGCATGTCGGTCATGGAGAGCTTAGTTTCAGCCCTTTACTCCAACATGGAAAGGCTGGTGGGGCTTTCTAGAAAGCTGCTTAAAGTGTGGGCAGTCCCCGGGAGGGAGGATGTGAGCAAACCCTCCATGACCATCCCTAGACCAGCCTTAGCAGCTCTAAGCATGGCCTCTTTCCTTTAACACACCGGCAGCTGGGAGAGGCCCCACGTCATGTACGGGCAACTGCTGGATTGGCTTCGCTATTTGGTAGCCTGGCAGCCTGTCATCATTGGCCTGGTACAAGGCATCAACTACATCCTGGGCCTCGAGTAATCAGGCAGAAGAGAATCTACCCACCATGGACCTCAGGGCACACTCCTCCCTGCCCTTCAAGACCTCCTGGGTGGGAAAGACTCAAAGGGGCACTTGGGCCACTCAGGACCCTCCTGGCTGTGTCCGGGCATGGGAGGGATATGATGGCGAGCTAGCCAGTGGGCTGTCAGCAGTGGGGGCTTTTTAAAAGAAAACTATTTTGATGAATATATTTAAAAACCTTTTTTATTGTGGAGCATAGGAACTGCCCCAACTCCTGCAGGCCTGATCCTCCTGCTTGAGCAGGGCGGGAGCAGAGCCACCACCTTTCTGGTTTAAAGGAGCCTCCTCACCTCTGGCTGAGAGCCTCAGCCCACCCATCTCCTTCCCTCGAAGGGGCTCAAGCCCAGCGCGCTCAGCGTGGAAGAGCTGAAGCCCGCCCCCCCTGTTGCCACAGGGAGCCCTGTGTGGTGAGGCATCTCCTGCCGTCCCCTGCCCAGGAGCCATGGGCTGGTGGAGGCAAGTGGGATCTGGTGACTTTTCCAGCGAGGGAAGCCCTGGGACCGCAGAATGCCTTGAGGGTTTGTTTGGGGGCAGGAGCAGTTTGGGTGACCTGCCCGGAGCAGCCCTGCCCCCAGCCAGAACGGAGGCCCTGGGAGCTGCAATGATGGAGGGCCCCTTGTGCCCGGAAGTGGCAGTATATACCACAGGCCATTCAGCCACATCACTTCCTTCCCGGAAAGCCTGTGTGAATGTGTGCGTGCGTCTGAGTGGATGCGGCAGAGGGATTGTGACAGACATGAGACTGTTCCCTTGAAGCTGGCAGGGGATTCCCAGCCAGAGAATGTCCCTGCGTCAGCTTTGTTGTTCATGGGCCTGGCCGTGGAAGTTGGTGGGGTAGGTAGTAGGTGGGGGAGGCCCAGGTGAGTATGGCTTCTGAAAAGGGGTTCCAGGGAGGCCCAGCCCTGGTCCTAGGAGTTGTGAGGACGTGGGAGGGTAAACATGGGGCTCCTAGGAAATACGGCCCATCTGGGCCTATCCCTTCAAGGGCAGTAAGAACCAAGAAGGATCTTGTCACTCCATTCTGAATAAAGCTCCATGAGCTGGGTTGGAAAGCTGAACATCATCTTGCTTTTCTTCTTCCCACCTCCTTCCCTGGGGTCCCCGGGGATGCCTTGCCTTGGCTGCCTTTTGCTGTTCCTGTTTGAGGGTTGGCCCCGCTCAGCACCCGGGGAGTGGTGGAATGCTGGGCTCCTGTCCTGTGGCAGAAGGGGCCCAGGGGCATCACTGGGTGGTTGTGTCCTCACCACTTCGAGGTCAGTTCCCTGCCATCCCCCCTTCTCAGGGCCATTCTCAACGGTGGCTGTCTTACCCGGCTGTGGCTTCCCACAGTCCCCCACCTTTCATGCCATTCTCAGAGTGAACTGGGGGCTGATTGAAGGGTCCAGGGATCATCCAATCCCCACATCAGTCTCATGTGAGAAGCTGCAGCCAACTGTCCAAGACTCTTTTTATATTTCACCAGTCCTGAGCCCTAGGACCTCCCAGTGGCCCAACTCTAGTCTTGGTGACTCTGAAGTAGAATCCCACCTCCATTCTCTCCCTCTCCTCACCCCCAAGCCCCAAAGGACTGTGTCTTGGAGCCCCAGGCAGCCTTGCCTCCTGACTTAACTGCTGGGGGTGCTGGAAGGAGTTTCCCTGTGTCCTGCAGCCTAGCAGCTGGTGGGGAGAGACCAAGAGTTAAAAAATGCCAAGTAGAGCTCTGGAGAGCAGAATTCATGGCTTTGTCTCCTGCCTCTAAATGAGGAACATGAGTCTGGTTTCCACACCAGTAACACCCCCTTGGGATTGCAGCAGACATCCTCTAAAGTCAATCCTGTGTCCTGGCCTCCCTGGCTCTGTCCCCAGCTCTCCTATCCTCCTGACCACAGAAGTCACAAACCCCAGTCACTCAGGTTTTGTCCTTCACACTTGATACATGGATCACCAGTCCTCCTCCGGATCGTTCTGCCTCCATGACCCTGACAGTGAGGGCCTCACTCACTGCCCACCAGTCCTGCCTCTGCCACCGTCCCAGCTCTATTGCCCTGTCAGCAGCTAGACTGGGGTGCTGCTTAAGCCAGTGTGGGGCCATCCCCCTCTTCCCAGGGAATGCCCTCCTTTTAGCACCAGGGCTCCAGCTCCTGTTTCAAGTTCTCAGCGTGGCTCTGCGAGGTCCTTCAGACAAGTCTGGGAAGTACTCTCGGCGCAGTTCCCGCGGCGGGGCTCACGGAAAAGCAGAGTGGAACCGCGCCGTGGCGCTCGGAATGGTGATTCCGGAATAGGGCTCTTCAGACGGCTTGGGAGCCAGGTATGGGGAACCTAGACTTCCGGGGAACCTAGACCTGTAGCTCTGGGATGAGAGAAGTGAGAAAAGTTCATCGTGACTCTGGGTGGGTGTTGGTTTAGGGGAGTGGGGAGCCTGAGAAAGGTCTGGATGTGGATAGACTCGGGTGCCATTGAACATGAAATGGTCAAAGTGATCTAACACGTTGGAGTCCCCAGTACCTACAAGAGTTGTTCCCTTGAATAGCAACATAACAGAAGGAGGAAGCAGGAGGCCTGCTCATAGAAGCAAAGATCTGGCTCTGAAGAGCAAAGATGGATACTAAAGTCCTGACCCTTCGCTGGGATGGAAGGATTGACCTGTGAGAGACTTTCATTGGTCCCATCCCCTTTGTGACCCTGAAGGTTACAGATGTGGGTGGATTAAAGACCGTACGTACCCAGTCTGATGCTGGCTGGCGAGTAAGGGCTGTAGGAAATAGCAGGAAGCTTCCAGTACCTCAGCCTGCTTTAGATTCTCTGTTAGAATCAAAGTGAAAGTGAAATAGGGGCCAGTGCTTTCCCAGCATGATTTCCCTGGATCCTGCCCTTCCCAGAACAGCTCCGTGGTGAGGAGAGCTTTATCTCCCTTCTGGCTGGGTAAGTCCCTGACCCCCCTTTGCATGTGTTTCTGTGTCTGTACTGAAGGGGTTAGCGTGCACTGGAAACTAGCATGTTGCATAGTATGTTAACAGAGCTCGGGCGAGGAAAGACTGTCCCTAGATGACCCTCCAGCTTTGGGTGCTGAAGAGCTCCAGCCTCGGCCACATGCCTGCCTTCCAGGAGCTGCCGGTGGGGACAGATGGACAGGACCGAGTGAATAGTAGTGCCAGGCAGTCCCCTGCGAGCCAGATCGAGGCAGGGCTGTGGGATCTGCAGGAAATACGGTTGGGATCTTAGGCCATCTTCTAATTCTTTTTTTTTTTTTCTGCCTCAGATTTTGGTAAGCTGGTTTGGTGGCCACGTTGGCCAGGTAGTCCCTGCGGAAGCCGCTGCTTTTGAGCTGCTCCAGGATGAGCGCGATGAGCTACAGGTCCCTGGGAGGC